TCTGAGGCCCTAGGAAATTATGCAAGGAGATTCTTCCCCTTGAAATTTTTAAAAAAGATTTTATTTATTTATTTGAGAGAGGAAGGGAGAGCATGAGCAAGGGGAGGGGGAGAGAAGCCGACTCTCTGCTGAGCAGAGAGCCCCACTTGGGCTTGATCCCAGGACCTGGAGATCATAACTCCTGCTGAAAGAGGCCCCCACCCCAGGAGCCCCCCACCCTGAATTTTTACACATTTACCCCTATTAATGGGGTTGTGGTATAATGAGGGCTTTCTATAAAAGGTGAGCATATGGAAAGTATATGGGAGGAGACAACAACCGAGGGACAGTTTTACAAATTTGCTTTGGCAACCGGAAGGTGTTTTTTTTTTTTTTTTTTTAAAGAGTTTATGGGATGCCCAGGTGGCTCAGGGGTTGCACATCTGCCTCCGGCCCAGGGCGTGATCCTGGAGACCCCGGATCAAATCCCGCATTGGGCTCCCTACATGGAGTGTGCCTCTCCCTCTGCCTGTGTCTCTGTCCCTCTATGTCTCTCATGAAAAAATAAATAAAATCTCTTAAAAAAAGTGATGTCCAACCACTGAGCCACCTAGGCGTCCCAACTGGAAGGTTTTAACACAGTATTATAATGAATAAAAAATTAGCACCAACTAAAAATGCTTTCTGCTTTTCCCTCTTGTGGAGTCACTACTCGGTCACCAGTAGTCCAGAGTCCCTGGACCCTGGGGAGGGACATCTGATCAGTACAGTGCGCAGACCCTGTCATGTTTATAAGAAACATTGCCTCCCTGCGACCACACTGCTACAGTCCTGCTCAAGCCATCAATTGAATCCTGAACTTGAGGGCGCCTGAGTGGCTCAAGCCCTTAAGCATCTGACCTGGGCTCAGGTCATGATCTGGGGGGCCTGGGATGGAGCCCAGGGTCGGGCTCCCTGCTCAGCGCGGAGTCTGCCTCTCCCTCTGCCCCTCCCCGACGTTTGAGCTCTGTCTCTCTCTCTCAAATAAATGAATAAAATCCTTAAAAAGAAACAAAAACAAAAGACAAATACTATGTTGAGGAAGCATGGGCTGGGCAAGCCAAGGTGAAGGCCGTGGACTCAGAGCAACACAAGATGGGCCTGGCGAGAAAAAGAAATCCAGAAGGCCACCAAGGTAGCCTCTTTTCCCCAAGAGTAGGGCGCCCCAGCCCCGGGGGAGGGCACACCCAGGCCAGGCGGGCAAGGTGAGCTCCAGTTCCGCCGGCAGCCGGGGTCACTGCCTCCAGGGCCTCTGCCCAGCAGCTGCAGGCTCGCCAGGGTCCCAGGGTGACGCCCTGGGGGACCCCCTGCAGGGGAGGCCTCACGGAGGGCCCAGGCTGCGAAGACTGTTCACGGGGACCCTGTGGGGACGCCTGGGCGAGATCACGACCTGGGCAGCCCGGGGGCCACGAGGTGGCAGCAGAGGACACAGCCCAGGCCCGCCCCCAGCCCTGTGTAAGAGCAGGTCTTTCATGGGAGACCCCTGGCCGGGGTCTGTAATCACGTATCCAAGGCCAGAATAAAGGCCTGCACTGCAAAGAAAGGAGGGCAAAATTCACCACCAAGGCGATTTCCCAGCCACCAGCGAACCCAGCTGCATGTGAAGTCACACCTGAATCGGTATTTCTCCAGGCAAGGCACGGGCAGGGGTGGAGGCCTTGGAAAGCCAAGGCCACAGGAACCTTGTCACAGCCGCTTCTTTCTGTGGCATTCTGATAGGGCGGTAATTCAAGTGAAACGGGAGTGACTTCCACCGAGGCTGCTGAGCTGACAAAAGGGTCAGCAGGATGCTGGCTGGGAAGCACTGCCCGGGGCAGAAGGCTTTCCTGGGGCTGCCAGGGACTTCGGGCAGAGGCAGTGGGTGGGGGGACAATGGGGATCACAGGACCTCAGATAACGTCTCTCGGCTGGGAGAGGACGGTGCCCGGGGTGTGGGCACTGGTAGCAAGCACTGGGCCTTAAATCTCTGGTCTTCTGACTTGTCGAATCATCTAATGCTCCTTGCATTATAAACCCTAGCCCCACCACCCCTCACTCCCAACACCCACTCCTTACAACCGGAAGTATCTCTAGACATTGCCAAGTAACCCCTAGTGGGCAAAATGTCCTCTCCCCGAGGATCAATGCCATAGACAGATACTGATTTAAAAGAAGGTTAAGGGGATCCCTGGGTTTAGCACCTGCCATCAGCCCAGGACGTGATCCTGGAGTCCTGGGATCAGGTCCCACGTCAAGCTTCCTGCATGCAGCCTGCTTCTCCCTCTGCCTGTGTCTCTGCCTCTCTTTCCCTCTCTCTGTGTATCTCATGAATAAATAAATATTTTTTTTTAAAAAGTAAAAATAAAAAAAAAGGTTAAGAAGGTAACATTAAACCTCTCCAAGACCTGAACTTCGGGAGAGGCCTCCAAAAAGCATTGTACACCCAAAACGTAAGAATTCCTATCATCAGCTTGAATAAGGAAGAGCCTACAATTGAAGAACAACAGGCTGACCCTGCCCCTCAGTTTAAGAAAAATTTATTCTCAACATTTTAAAATCAGAAGAATTCACATTTAAAAAGTCAGAATTTCTGGGGTGCCTGGCTGGCTCAGTCCATTAGGTGTCTGACTTCAGCTCAGATCATGGTCTCTGGGTCCTGGGCCCAAGCTGCATCGGGCTTCCTGCTCAGTGAGGAGTCTGCTTCCCCCTCTTCCTCTGACCATCCCCCTCACTCCCTGGGCTCATGCTCTTTGTCTCTCGGTAAATCATTTTTTTTTTTTTTTGAATAAAATCTTTTAAACAGAAATAAATAACTAGTCAGAATTTCTGGCTTTTCTAGGAAAACTGGAACTATGCCAACACCAGGCCCACAGGCCCACGTGGCAGTAACTGGGTGGAGCCGAGTGGGGGTAAAATCTTGAAGCAGACCGTGGGCGCTCTAGTTCGCCACAGTTCCCACCAATTCCTGTTACATCATCCGCAATCTGTCTCACTCATTTTCACTACTCCTCATCCCTATCGGCAATTTATTTTCAACCTTTGAAGTTGCCTTATCCTTTCGAACCATTTTCCCGTGTGTGATTCTATGTTAGCCCCGATGCTCCGGGAAGGTAGAGAGGATAAATACTAGGATTATAATCTCCACGCACGCGAGAAGCACTTCAGAGAGGTCGACCTGCGCAAACCTACACAACAAAACCAGAATCTCAAATTTCCTCTCAGTCTTACTATTATTATTTTTTTTTTTCAGGGCAACGTTTCTAGTGGGAATTCCATTTTGCCGTTTAGGGAACAGAACCGAAGAAGTAGATATGGGTGGGAGCAGAGGAGAGGTCCAAGGGTTGAGCTGTTCAAGAATCACCAGGAATGATTAACATTTTTTTTTTTTTTAAAGGAAATGATTGTGCTCCCCTTCTACCAGGCGTTTGAAATGGCTGCCTCGCGGTTGGGTGTGGCTGGAGGTCGCGCCCTGGCCGACGCAGGGGGCCGTCCTGAGGAGGCAGAAGTGTTCGAGCGCGGGAACCACGCAGGCTCACCTCACGCACGCCCGCGGGTGGGGGCTCCAAGCCGCAGGCGCCTCAGGTAGCAGAGCGCCCGGCCGGGCTTCTGCGGACGCGCAGTGGGACGCGCGACGTGGGCGTTGTCTGGGGCCCCGGCGCGCGACTTGGAATCCCCGACGTGTGTGTTCGAGCCCCACGCTGGCCACAGAGCTTGCTTAGGGGAAAAAAAACAAAACAAAAAAACAAAAAAAGGCTTGGGGCCTGCTACAAAAGCACGGCCTGGACTAACGTGACCGACCGAGTCCTCTGCGGGGCACTGACCTGCTGCCAGCGCTAGGATGCAGCCCGGGCCTCTGAGGAGCCCGCTATGAGCTGCCGCGCGTGTCTGCGAGACAGGCCGCCGGGCGGGCTCGTCACCCCGTTCCTCCTCCGCCACCGTCTTCCGACTCCCGCGCCCCGTGCACGGGGGCTCCGCGGCGCCCGGCCCGGGAGGAGGGAAGGGGGTGGCCCGCTTCCGGCTCTCTCCACTCAAGAGCCTAATCCCGGGCTGTCTCCACCCACTGGTGCTCGCACGACCTTGTCACGGGGCGCGGGCCCTCTCCCAGGTGTCCCGGCCGCGCCGCTGCGGGCGCCCCACAATGTCGGGGCCGGGCAGCCAGGCCGCGCTCTCGCCTCAGCGCTGCGGGCGCCGCGATCTGGGGACGGCGGCCTCCTGACGTGGGGGCGATAATGCGTGCGGGGCGCTCGCCTCCGGGGTGAGTTCTCTCAGGGTTCCAGCCGCGGCCCCCGTCGAGCGCCGGCTTTGCACACGTGCAAAGGTCCCACGCAGCGGGGGCTGCGCTTCCGGACCCGACGGCGGCCGGGGTCAAAGGTCGCGGGGCCGCGCGAGGCCGCGCCTGCGCAGTGCGCCTCCCGCCGCGGAGAGGAAGGGCGGCGGCGGCGCGGGCTCGCGAGAGGCGGGGAAGCCGCAGCTCGGGGCGCCCGTGCCCGCCCAGCCCGCGGGCGCCGCGGAGGGAGGGACGCAGGGAGGGCGGGCCCCGGGCTCCTGACTCATCAGCCCCGAGCCCTTTCTCGCGCGCGCTCCGAGTCTCAGGACTTCGCATCCGGGCTCCGCGCGCGGGGGGAACCCGGCTCCGCGGAGGGCCCGTCCCCAGCCCGCGGGCCCCGAGGCGGCCGGAGGGAGGGCGGCGGCGCCCCCGCACACGACACCCCGCCGGGCGCCCCCCCGCACGCGGGGCCAGTGGTCGCGTCCGCGGAGACTCGGCTAGGCCCAGACCAGAGCGCCTCGCGTCGCGCCGCGGACACACAGCGCCCCCTTCCCGGAGGGGAGGCTCTTTATTTCCCGGCAGGCCCCGGGGCGGCGCGTGGCATCCTGGGACTTGTAGTCTTCGCGAGAGGAGCGAGGAACCGGATCGAAGGGGGCAAACTAAAGCACCCAGGGACTCGATTCCCCCGGGCTTGCGGTGGGTGGGATAGCGAGAGGCGGACAGAAGAGAGGTGGGAGGGATGAGGCGGGCGCGACGCTGCGAGGGGAGGCGATGGGCGGGGCGGGCAGGGGTGGAAGGGGGCACGGAGGTGCAGCCTGCGTGAAGGACGCCCTGCAGGCGGGGAGCCTTTCGGGGCAGTGGGGGGACGCCGGAGGACACCCTGCGGAGACCCTGCCCCGGGTGCGGCATCCCTGGCGGGGACGGCAAGAGCGGGGCCTAGGCGCACGGAACCTGAAGGCTCTGCCTGGACTTCAGGCGGGTCCAGGGGACCCCAGCCGGCCCCGCGGAGTGCAGTCGGTGTGCAGTCGGGGCAGGAGGGTCGGAGGACGCTGGGCTCCCGCGGGGCAGCCGAGCCCGACCGCCGGCCTCCGGGCCAGCTCACCCGCTTGTTGCGTTTGTTGTGCTAGCCACGGTGGGACCGTCCTCCGGACCGGCAACTTCCTCCAACTCAGGGAGATCCTACAAACCAGACGGTTGGGAGGGGAGCAAACTGTAGGGGTGAGAAAGGAGGGATCCCAGAGAAACAACTTCCTCTTTTTCTTCCATTTCTTTTTCCTTGTTCCCACAGTCCTTCCAATACTTAGGCAGCTGCCTAATGGTCTCCCGCCTTTCTAGTCCCACCCATTTAGATACCCAGTTCCCTCTTCCCCACCACTACGGAGGAAACGCCTAAAGCCAGAAAACCAATCCGTTGCAGGCTGCGACCCCTACCCGCTCTCTACCCCCCACTAGCCCCATTATTTTTCCTTCAGTGCCACTGACCATGATAGCCAGTAAAAAATAAATAAATAAATAAATAAATAAATAAATAAATAAATAAATAAATAAATAAAATAATCATTTGCCAGCTAACTGCTCTGTACTTTCTTCCCTTCCCTCAGTACCTCCTGCAGCTCCCGGTAGTGCAGACTCTGGCTCCTGCAGCATCCTGGCTTCCTCTGATTCAGCAGGAAGAGCGAGTATGCGGAGACCAGCACTCCCCCTAGGGTGAAGGCCTCAGTACTGAGCTCCAGCACTAGCAAGCCCGCCAGCTGCAGATAGACAGGCTGAGGATACTACAGGGAAGCCAGCACCTGTTTGCCCCTGCCCCGTTCCCTCTTCACCTCCTCCTCCCACCTTTTCCTTCATTCACCTGTACCTGGGACAGGGCAGCTGGGGCAGGCCCCAAGGCTGTCTTCATCACCTCTACCACCACCACGATGAAGCCCAAGATCAGACTGAAGATGTTGAGTATCATCATGGCCTGCACCTGCCAGTGAGCCAGTTCAGCCTTGCCCGGCCTAGGAGACTCCTGGGAGCCCCAAGCCCCACCTGCAGCCGAGCCCCAACACAAAACTCGACTCCTCTTCTTCCATCTCTAAACGGGGCCATCGGACCTCTAACTTTCTTGCGTTACCTCCTCAGTCTGTTAGGTGGGTCAGGGGCAGAGAGCTCAGGGTTTGTTAACATTCAGTCACTTCCTGGCCTGAGTGGTGTGCGTGAGTGTGTGTGTATGTGTTGGGAGACCAGTGCCGCATCCTGGTGCCCTCTCACCTTCCAGAGGCGAGGTGCTCGGCGCAGCTCAAGGGTAGCAATCCCAGTGAGGAGACCCTGAATGGTGGGGAAAGCAAGTGTTGAGCTCTGGCCTCAGGGAGGAGGGGCCTCCAGGACCCTCCTTCCACCCTCCCTTGCGATGGCTCTTACCAGTGCCCCAGGCCCGAGTGGCAGTGCGGTGGCCATGTGACAAGCAGAGTTCAGGCAGGCCACGGAGACAGCAAGTGGCACCACAGCCACTGCCAGCCACAGCTGGCTCACCTGGAGGCCGCACGCGGGGCACGTGAAGGGCATCCAGGGATCGGCAAGTGGGAGGAATGCAGGTGGGTGGAACGCAACCAAGGGCGAGTGAAGGAATGGGGTATTCTTTAGTGTTTCTGCCTCGTGTCCTAGTTACTTACCTATGTGTTTTCCCCACATGATGGGATCTAATTGGAGACTAAGGGTCTTGCTTCATTATTCTACGTTTCCTCCACCCTCCTCCCACTCAAGACACTAGCACAGCTTCAGGCATGCGGTGGGTGCTCCCTAAACATGGATACAACTGAATTGGGGCTACAGTTGGACATTCTAAAGCCTGAGGCAGGGCAGCCTGGCCTCACCGCCAGCGCCAAGAGGTGCCCATTTTGCCTGTGCCGTGCCCAGCGCTGTAGCTTTTCCAGACGAAGACTGGAGCTCTCCTGTTCCTGCTGAGCAGCTCTCTCCTCCATGGCTCCCTCGCCCACTGGAGTTCAGTGCTTCCTAGGCTGGGAGAAATGCATCGTGGCGCCTATCAGCAGATAGGACGTGCGGCAACATCTCTTTCAGCTGTCCCTTTGTCCACTTCCAAAATCTGGGGAGTTGAGGCTCAGGGCCTCAGACCTACCTGGTCTGAAGATGCTACTCCAAAGGGACGGGACCCAACAGGGCCTGGAGCTCCTGGCAGGGTCCGGTAGCTCAGAGCAGACCACAAATTGTCCTGGCAGAGACAGGCTGTCAAGGCTGGGTGGGGTGGGGCAAAGGTCCCCACGAGGGCCTAAGGTTCTAGGGAGCGGCCATGGGCAGGCACCAGCCTCCGGTCGTTCCACAAAGCGCACAGCCCTGCCTTGCTCTGTCCCCCTTCTGCCCATCTGTGGGTCTTCTGATGGCTCACCCCATCCCCACGGACACTACCACCACGGGCCCCAGTTTGCCCCTATTTCCATCTAGTTGTTCTCCTTTTTGGCTTCCTCCTCAAACTACCTGCTGTTCCCCAGGGAAATCCCATATTACTGTCTGGATTGGTCCCTTGTCATTACTACTTGCAGTGTTGTCTCAAGACCAAGCAAGGTTTAATTCCCCTGGCTTCCTGTCTCTCACTTTCTGGACAGTTTCCCCCTCTCTTTTTCCTTTCTTGAAGGGTTTACTCTGGACTGGATGCTAACTTAGTAGATGGGGATCCCTGTTTATAGTGGGGCAGGTTTTGTTTTTGTTTTTAGTGTTACAGTGTTCATTTGCAGCTAGATACATTTAGAAAATAGTCCCCAAATGGTCAGTCCTGGGCAGGACACTACCGCAGCAATGACTATTTTTGAGAGCTAGAAGTTGCCTTGCAGTCAGGCCCACCTGGTCTAGAATCTCAGCTTTGTTGCTTTCCCAGCTGTGTGACTTTGGGTACATTATTCTACCTGTTTGCACCTCGGTTTGTTCAGACTGAGTAATAAAAAGGGGCCTAACAACATGACTGTGAGGGCTTGTTGATTCGCGGTGGGCACTTAACAGCCATTGGTGATGCGATGAGCTCACACAGATATGCCTGATGCCGGTATACCAGAGGCTTATTCAGAAGCTGAGCTGCGCCCGAATATATGCTCCATGGATCAAAAATAGGAAAGGTGTGGAGCCTGGGATCTGGAGCAAAACCAGAGCTGTGTTCAAATCCCAGATCTCCTTGGATGACCTTGGGCAAGTTACCTAATCTCTCTGTCTCCTTATCTATCAAGGGAAGTTAACAATACAGATGCCTATACAACACTCAAGGAGTTAGTTGCTTTGCTATTAAAAGAGAAAATGCAGTGAACTAGCTCAGCCTGGCACCTAGCACTTAAGTGCCCAATACTTGTTAGTAGCTAATATCATTATTATTATTACTGTTGGTAGAAGAAGACTGGGCCAGAAGACGCCTGGGGGTTAGTCCTGACAGGCAGGGTCCTGGGAAGCAAGTGGTGCTGGGCCAACACTCCCTGGAGCACTGCGTCCCTTCCTTTTTCCTGGGGAGTGGGAATCACACTTAAAGGGATTCTGAGAAGTTGTGAGTCTACTCCCAGCTCAATCGGCATGTGCATTAATTTCCTTTGGTGGCAGTGGCCCGACCATGTGAAATGCCGGGCTTGCTCTGCGGGTCCCTGAGCTGCTAGGCCAGTGGCGAGACCCTTTGGCTTCATTTTCCGTACCTGGAAGTGCAGGCCTTATCCTCCAGGGTGTTATTGTGAGGATCCTCTCCGACTAAATGTGTGAACGGGCATTCCGTCAGTATGGATCGGGTCTGAGCTCGCCGCCTAGGAATTCGGAGCCCCGTCCGGGTTGCACTGTGCCCAGGGCCCGGCGCCCCCAGCCCCTCGTCTCTGCTCATCCCCCTCGGTGCTAAGCACGGTGCCTGGTGCCTAAGCAGGAAGCAATCAGTAAATATTTGTCGTATTGAAGAGCCATCAGGGCGACTTAGGGAATGGAGAGGAGAACTGGAGAGGAAGGAGCCGGATCTGTTTATCAAGAACAGAAAGGACCAGGGAGTAACTTTAATAATGTTTCTTGTACGGCCGACATTAACTATCTTTATCATCGCCCCTCCTCCTCCTCCCCAAAAAGAGAGACAGAAATTGTAAGGGAGAGGCTGCGAGATAAAGCCCCAGGAAGAACTTCCCGAGTCCGTGCATGTCGGGGCAGAAGGCGCGGCCCAGCCAGCTCCGTCCCTGGTATGTCCGGGCGGGGGGCGGGGGCGGGGGCGGGGGGCGGGCGGCGGGCGGCGCGGGGGCCCGGGAAGGACGGCGTGACCTTTGGGCATCCCCGCCGGCCTCCCGGGGAGCCGAGCGTGCGTCGCACCCCCGCCCCGCCGCGGCGCCCCGGCCCCCGCCCCGCGCCCGCCCCGCGCGCCTCCCGGGGTCCCCGCGCCCCGCGCCCGCCCGCCCGCGCCCGCGCCCGCGCCCGCTCCCGCTCCCGCTCCCGCGCGGCCCCGGCCCCGCCGCGCCGCCCCCCGCATGCTAATGGCCGGGCCGCCTCCCGCCGCACACAATGCGGGCCAGGGCCGGGGGCGGGGGACCGGGGAGGGGGCGGGGGCCGGGCCGGGGGCGGGGGGGCCGGGGCCCGGCGCATCTCCCCCGGCCCCACGTAACGCTGACGCCCGCGCCGCCGGCCCGCCGCCCGCCGCCGCCGCCGCCGCCGCCGCCGCCCGCCGCCGCCCGCCCGGGGCCCGTGAGTAGCCGCTCCCCCCGCGCCGGCCCCCCCCGCCGCCCCCGCCCCCACCCCCGCCCCCCCGCGGAGGGGGGGCCGCCCGCGCGCCCGGCTCGGAGCAGGTGCAGGGGGCGGGGGCGGGGGAGGGGCGCCGGCGCGGCCCCGAGCAAACTTCGCCCGGAGCTCCCGGGGGGGCGGGGTGGGGGCGGCGGCCGCTGGCGCGGGGGGCGCTGGGGGGCCCCTGGGGCGGGGGCGGGGGCGGGGGCCGGGGCGGCGGGGCCGGGGCGGCGGGCGGGGGGGCGCGGGCGGCTTTGTAGGGGCGCGAGGGCAGGGCGCGGGGGGCCTGGGGGTGCGGGGCGGCCGCGCCGGGAGTCGGAGCGGAGCAGCGCCCCCCGGCTTAGGTAGGGCTGCGGGGCGAGGGGGCAGGGACCCGAACTCTCCCGGAGCGGGGTGGGGGAGGGGCGAGGCTGGGGGGTGCTTCCCTCTCCGCGTCCCAAACAAAGTGTCACAAAGAGCTCGGCCGGCGGCAGCGGCGGAGGCGGCTGCAACTCCGCTTTTGTTCTCCCGGCCGGGGTAGCGAGCCCTGGCCTCCCAGCCTCCCACCGCTGCCCCCCCATCCTCCTCCTGGCTTCTCCTCCCCGGGAGGGCAATGGGGCTGCTGCTGGAACAATCCCCTGTGCGGGATCACAGGTCCTGCCCTACTTGCCAGCCTGCTTCTGGGAGGGAGGTTTTTCCCAGAGGCTCTCCTGCCCTGCCCACCCCCCTCGCCCCCCCACCACCCCCACTAGCCCCTAATCTGAGGACTGAGGCTCATATGGGTGCTAAGACTCTGACCTTTCTAGGGTCAGCTCCAGCTAAGGGGACTTAGGGCCGGCCCCCTCGCCGCCTCCCCCCAAATCAGGGTCCTCTGGTACTTTCAGAAGAGAGGTCAAGTTGGGACATGCTTGGGGAATAAGCTTCACTATGGTGGGGGCAGGGGGCAGTAGGGCAGCAGGTGTACCTTCCTCTCCTTCCCTTGCTGTATGTTTGGAGTCCATGACTGAAGTGCCATGCCCCCAAATCAGAAAAGTGAGGATGAAGGGAAGGAGGCTTTAACCAAGAACTCCGTGTAAAAGATGGGCATGCTGTGACCTGGGGTCAATTCAGAGGAACTCTCCGAGCAGGGAGGTTCAGAGGGCCGTGGAGAGGAGACCCTAACAGGGAGCTACTGGCATGTGGTTGTGATAAAAGTGGCCTTGACTCCAGACCACCTAAGAAGCCCCCTTTCTTTCTTGCCTCCCCTTGTGCACTGTTCATAATAATTGGTAGCGGACCTCAGAGGTGTGGGGCTCTCAACAGAGGGAAGAACATCAAGTATTAGGAATGACCAGTGACAGAGGCTTAGTCACAAGTATGCCTCAGAAGTCCTGAATCCCTGTCCCTTACACTCTGCCCCTAAAAACTTTTGAATCCCTGGTTGGAGGGACAATCTTTTGAGGTCCTGCACTCAGCGATGCTTCTCTGTAGTGTCCTTGTTTCCGAGTCTTCTTACCAACCCTCCCAGCCCTCCCTAATGCTGTAAGGTTTGATGGTCCACATCCCCTTCCCCACCAGCTTTCCCAGCACATGAAAATAATTGGCCTGTTTCTTTGGAAAGATTGCCGATCCCTAACCCCGGCCTGGTATCCTTATAGAACCCAAATAATGGCCAGATAACCCCTGATTCCCAGTGGAGGTGGAAAGTAGGTCAGTGCTACTGTCTGGCCAAGTCTCGTGGATGGTGTTTAGGGCCTGACTATAGAAAATGCTGTGATTATTGCCCACAGGCAGGACATGCATGTCGTGGGTTCCAAGGCGGTTCTTAGACCTAGGACCCTGTCAGTGTTCTCTCCTATTAAAAAAAAAAAAAAAAAAACCCAAACCAAACAAAACCCCTCATGGGATCTGGTGCCTGGGGCCTCCTTTGGTGTGGAGATGATTCAGGAGGTCTTGACTGGGCCTGGGAAGGTGTCTAAGTGGGTTTTGTTGATTTGAGGCTTACCCTCCTCCAGGGAAACTCTCCCTGCTTGGGAATTCAGCTTCAATTTAGGCCTCCTTATATATCACTTTTTTTTTCCATCCTGGCAAATGCTATGTGCAAAGCAGGTCTTTTGTTTTTGTTTTGTTTAGAGAGAGGAAGCTTTGCCCTGTTCCTACTCTACTTGCTCCCTATATGCAGTCCAGCCTCCTATGAGGTATTTTGTTTGCTGTCCTACAGGCAGTTTCAGGGGCCCTAGAATCTTCTCAGAATCAGAGTATGTGCCCATAGGTTAGTCAGCTATGACCATGCAGTATTCCCAGCCTCCCCCCCCCTCCTCCCCCACCATCTGCTTCCTCTGAATATACCAGATTGGCTGTACACCAGGATGTTCCGGGAATCCCCAGGAGAGCAACAGAATGTGATGGACCCAAATACGATGCCTCAGTAACTCATTCCAGGATGTACAAACTGTAACTGTCAGGACACTCCTTAGAGCTAATTAAAATTCTTCTAGTTACATCTATTTTTTCTATTACATTTATCTATTTTCAGTGACATCCAAAAGGCCAAAATAATCCCTCTGGTACCACTGGTTTCTCCCCCACCGGCCCCCACCAATGGTTCCCAGATAGGAATTCTTAAAAATCCTCTAGCTTTTCTCCGAGCTTTATCTGTGGCGCTAAAATGGCAAATGCGGCCCCTCTAGCTCCTGCTCGCCCTTTCTATGGTACCGAGGTGGCCACAGTGGCTCCTGGGGTAGCCCACTGCACTCTCCATGGTACTGAAGGGATGACCATTGGTTTTTAACCTCTCTCTGGGGTCCAGAAGAGTCCCGTGACTCAGAACCACACATTTTCAAGCGGGAAGGGACCATCCATATAAATTAGTCCAACCTCCTTATTTTACAGATGAGTAAACTTGGAGGTCAAGTGATTTACTGAAGGTTGCAGGGCTATTAATAGTCAGACTGGCCCCACAATAGCCTCGTACTCCTCGGTCCCACTCTAATTCACCTTTGATGACACTACCCACGGAGCCTAGCTGGGCTCTTGGTCTCAGGGAAGGGGTTTATTTGGAAGATCCAGAAGATGACGGTGGATGCCCTAATTCAGAGCTACAGACGTACAAATATTAAACGTGGTGGTGGAGGTGGTTTACTGACCCTTGAATGAGGACACTTTGTCAATCAGCCTCCCGTTAATAAAATTCCCTTAACCCAGATTTCACATGTAACAGGTACCTGGCCCTTCGTGGAATCTTATCACATTCATTAAATGTGAAAAATTAAAGAAGCTTGGACCTCCAGAGCCTTTTCTCTTTGCTGATAAGCAGGGCTGACTCCTGGCCCAGTTCTCTTCTGTTGAAGATCCTTTAGCAAAGTAATACTTGAGTCCTTTTCTTTCTCAGTAACCCATTTCAGGTTCACAATGCCTATTGTAAGGAAGTTCTTTATATCTCAAATATTCTTTCTATCTCAGGCAAAAAAAAAAAAAAAAAAAAAAAGGTTAGGCCCACAATCATCCAGGCTCGACCAGATCCCATTCCGTGTGTAAGCAGGAAGGTAGGCTGGTGGACTTCTGCTGCATCCTCCCCAGGCCTCTTTCCATGAATGTTAATTCTGGGGTTGCTTCTAAGTCCTAATGCTTACCTCTGCAGCTTAGAATCAGGAGAGCCCCCCCCCCCCAATCTTCTCAGTGCTCTTCTCCTTCCTCAGAACTGGAGCTCTGCACATCCCAGGCCCAGGGAATTTCAGCCTGGAGAATTTTAACCCTTTCCTGCTCAGAGCGTGTGCTGAGCCCCTATCTGTGCAGATGGCCCGGCCCCGCCCCCCGTCCCTCACTCCAGCCTCTTGAGCTCAGAGCCAGTGTAATCCTCCTCTTGTGTGAGGGAGCCTCTCCCCTGCAGAGAGGAGGAAAGCCTGCCTCGGAACAGCCCTGGACAAAGGGGCTGAGATGCCCCATCAAACTGCAGGCTGCAAGGTTTGAAACACGGGGATGAATCCTATCTGGTATTTGCAGTTTTTAACCCCTTCCCCAGGCCAGCAGCGCCCCTTAACTTCCACTCCTCCCCCAACTCTCTCTTCATTCCCTCTCCCTCTGGCGCTCTCCCCCTTCATGCCCCTCCCCCTCTGTCTGTCTCCAGACTCTCTGCTGCTGGGAGGTGTTTCTCTCCCATGCATGAATGAGTCTCTGTAATGAATGGAAATGAATGGATCAGGAATCCAGGCGGAGGGAGGGAGGACGAGGGGGAAAAGACAGAAAGACAGGATAAGGGCAGAAGGAAGGACTGTGGAGTGTGGGAGGATGTTTGGCTGGCTGGTCAGTTGGGGGTCTGAGAGCAACTGGTCTCACTTGGATAACTGGGGAGCATGGCAGGCCCACCCCCATTTGCTCATCAAGCTACATAGCCTAACTTGAATGAGAGAGGGGCATCCTGTGACGGTTTCTACCACCAGGGGGTGGTGGTGGTGGTGATGGTGGTGATGGTGGTGGTGGTTTTGGACTAGGCACTTAAAATGAATAATTTGGGGCAAGACATCTGGGTTATCAGGGAGCCTGTGGCCTGGGCAAACGAGGGAGCACACATTTTGAAGGCAGCAGTCCCCTCCTGCATCGGGGGTGCAAGGAAGGGGAACAGAGGAATAGGCTGCAGGAGTATGGGGTGCTACGAGTGTGGGAGTGGAGGTGCCTCTTTCCACTGCTGAAAACCAAGGCTCATCTTTACCTCCAAATCTGTGTCTCTCTAGCTCTTCAGCACCTGTTGCCTTCACTAGCAGCTTTTCTTCCTCCTCTTCCCTGCACTCCCCAGAACCAAAGAATGTGAAGGGGGTCCATGGAGGTGAGTGAAGCAGCTGTGGCCTGAACCTGCAAGTACTTACAACTGTACCCCTTCCCTCCCTCCTTCTCTCAGAAGTTCTGTCTGTGGCCCCGACAGCTCCACTCGCATCCACATCCCACTCCCCCCGCCCCCACCCCCGAGGGCAGTGGGAAGGGCGCGCGGTGTCCTGGATTCGGGCCCTCGGGGGCCCTCGGGGGCCGCCGGCCACCCGCGCCCTTGCCTTCCGCAGCCCCTGTCCTCGCATCTGTCTCCGCAGGCCTCACGTCCCCGCGCCCCGGGCGGCCACTTAGCGCCCTCGCCCCCGGCCTTCGACGGCGAACTGGATCTGCAGCGCTACTCCAACGGGCCGGGCGTGAGCGCCGGGTCTCCAGGGATGGGGGCCGTGGGCTGGTCGGAGAGTCGCGCGGGCGAAAGGCGCTTCCCGTGCCCGGTGTGCGGGAAGCGCTTCCGTTTCAACTCCATCCTGGCCCTGCACCTGCGGGCGCACCCGGGCGCCCAGGCCTTCCAGTGCCCGCACTGCGGCCACCGCGCCGCGCAGCGCGCCCTCCTGCGCTCGCACCTGCGCACGCACCAGCCTGAGCGCCCGCGTAGCCCCGCCGCGCGCCTGCTGCTGGAGCTGGAGGAGCGCGCGCTGCTGCGCGAGGCCCGGCTGGGGAGGGCCCGGAGCGCGGTCGGCGTGCAGCCCGCCCCTCCCGCCGCCGCCGCCGCCGCCGCCGAGGGCCCGGCGCGGCCCCAGGCCCCCGCGTCGTCCGCCTTCCGGTGCCCCTTCTGCAAAGGCAAGTTTCGTACCGCGGCGGAGCGCGAACGCCACCTGCACATCCTGCATCGGCCCTGGAAGTGCGGCCTGTGCAGTTTCGGCGCCAGCCAGGAGGAGGAGCTGCTGCACCACAGCCTGACGGCCCACGGCGCCCCCGAGCGCCCCCTGGCGGCCGCCCCCGCGGCGCCCCCGCCGCCGCCGCCGCCCGAGCCCAGGCCGGCGCCCGCGTCCGCGTCCGCGTGTGAGCCCGAGCCCGAGCGCGACGCCCCCACCCCGCCGCCGCCGCCGCCGCCGCCGCGAGGAGCCCCCCGCGCCCCCGGAGTTCCGCTGCCAAGTGTGCGGCCAGAGCTTCACGCAGTCCTGGTTCCTCAAGGGCCACATGCGCAAGCACAAGGCCTCTTTCGACCACGCGTGCCCCGTGTGCGGCCGCTGCTTCAAGGAGCCCTGGTTCCTCAAGAACCACATGAAGGTGCACGCCAGCAAGCTGGGCCCGCTGCGCGCCGTGGGGTCCGCCTCCGCGGCGGCGCGCGCCCCGCAGCCCCCCGACCTCGGCCTGCTGGCCTACGAGCCGCTCGGCCCCGCGCTGCTGCTGGCGCCCGCGCCCCCCGCGCCCCCGCGCCCCCCGCACCCGAGCGCCGGGAGCCGCCCAGCCTGCTGGGCTACCTGAGCCTGCGGGCGGGGGAGGCCCGGCCCAACGGGGACGGCGCGGAGCCCGGGGCTGGCCGCGGCTTCGCCGGCTTCCGCCCCGCGCCCGCCGCCCTCCCGGCCCGGTCTCGCCGGCCCCGCGCCGAGGAGCCGGACGACGAGGAGGAGGTGGTGGAGGCGGAGGACGAGGCCTGGGCCCGCGGCAGGCCGGGGGGGCCGCTGGCTCCGCTGCACGCGCGCCCCGCCGAGGGCCCGGGGCTCGCCGCACCTGCCGCGGGGGCGCAGGCCAGGCCCGCCTCGCAGGGTACGTAGGGGCCCGCGGAGGCCCCATCGCGCCCCGCTCCTGCCCCCTCCTTTGTAAGAAAGGGCTTGCCTCTTAATTCTTAAAAAAAAAAAAAAAAACACCTCTGGAGGCCACTTTTGGAGGGCACAGCACCAGACCCCGCCCCAGGCTCCCTCCACCCCGCTGTCTCCATCCCCAAGGGGCGGGCGGCTGGGGGTGGCGGCCAAGCCCTTTCTGACGTGCCCTTACCTGTGTGTTGCAGAAGAGAACGGGCTGTTAGCTGGAGGGACTCGGCCCGAAGGCGGCCGTGGAGCCACGGGGAAGGACTGCCCCTTCTGTGGAAAGTCTTTCCGCTCAGCACATCACCTTAAGGTGCACCTGCGAGTGCACACAGGTGAGGGGGGCAGCCTCCGGGCTGCGGGGGGCGAAGGGGGGACGGGGTGGGCCGCGGATTCCTCCGGCCCAGAGGGGCCCCGCGCGGGCAGCAGAACGCAGGGCCTTGCTGGCGCCCCGCCTGACCCCTGGCGCCCCTTCCCGCAGGCGAGCGCCCCTACAAGTGTCCGCACTGCGACTACGCGGGCACCCAATCTGGCTCGCTCAAGTACCACCTGCAGCGCCACCACCGGGAGCAGCGCAGCGGGGCCGGGCCCGGCCCCCCCCCGGAGCCGCCACCCCCTTCCCCGCGGGGCTCGGCACAGCCGTCGGGGGCCAAGCCCGCCCCGCAGCCGGCCGCCTGGGCAGAGGGCGCCGCGCACCCCCGGCCTCCCCCGAGCGCGGCGGCGCCCGGGTCCCGTCGGAAGCCCGCCAGTCCCGGGAGGACCCTGCGCAACGGGCGAGGCGGTGAGGCCGAACCCCTGGACCTGTCCCTGCGGGCGGGGCCGGGGGGCGAGGCCGGGCCGGGGGGCGCCCTCCACCGGTGCCTCTTCTGCCCCTTCGCCACCGGAGCCCCGGAGCTCATGGCCTTGCACCTGCAAGTGCACCACAGCCGCCGGGCTCGGGGCCGCCGACCGCCCCCGGCGGATGCGTCCCCACCCTACGCCCCCGCACAGTCCGCAGAGACCCCCCCAGTCCTCCGCAGGAGGGGGAGGAGGGCCCCGGGCTGCCGGGGGCCCAGGAGCGGTAGGGAGCCCGACTAGGGGCGGTTAGCGTAGTGAGCTCCCCCGCGGGGGCGGGGGGCCTAGAGGTAGTGGGTAGAGCAGCCAGCGGGGGGCAGCGTGGGGCCCGCAGCCGCGCCCCCGCGGAGCAGAGGTGAGGGGTGGAGGGCGTAGGAGGGTGGGCGGGCGGCACCCACCCAGCCCAGGGGAGAGTCACAGTGCCTTAGCAGTGGCAGGGGGAGGAGCGGAGGACGGGGTCTGGGCTGCCCAGGCCGGGCCCCGGGGAGGAGGCGCTCTGCCGGTCTTCGCTGGTCCATAGGCGACAGAGTTTATTTTTGTACAATGGGTGGGGGTGGGGGGCACTGTACCCTTCTAGCCCTTTCAGGGGCCCCTGTAGACGTCGCTATTTTTGGTACAATTCTTGTCACCCCTGTCGCAGAGTTGTGTCCCCAATAAACAGGTGTCTTGAGGCACAGGGCGCTGCGTCTGTCTGCTTATGTCCCGTGCTCTTCGGGCCATTCTGTCGGGAAATACTTCTTCGGGCGCTTAGTGACCCCCCCACCCTCCGAGAGCTTCTGCCAAGCAAGACCTCTTGGGCTTTCCCCCACCCTGGCTGTGGCTTCCGCAGCTCTGGGGGCGGGGGGTGGCCCAGGAATTAGTGGTTAGCAAGGAGCCCGGGCTGGATTCTTCTGCACGGTGGGCTGAGCGGCTGAGGGTGAGGGCGGCTGGACTGTGCTGGATCCCGGCTTGACCTGACCGCCTTAGCCTCAACGAGCGGGCCTAGCGGGTCGGGAGGAAGCTCGCAGGGTGCTTTGAGCCTCTGAGAGCCACCGCAGAGGAGCCAGTGTGGGGCCGCTAAGGGGTACTTGGTGCCTTGAAGCCTCGGTTATGTTTCTTGTGTTCTAGTTAATGGTTGGATGGGGGGGAGGTCCTCAAGGTGGTAGGATAACCTCAATCCAGAGCTGTGCTCTAGCTCTTCCGACACAGAGTGTGAGTAAATACATTTAATATAACAATAGTATTATAATAACAGTAATTACATGTATAAAGTTCCCCCCCTCCCTCCCCACTCCTGTAATGGTTTGCAGAGCTCTGTTTCCTAGGACACCCCAGGACGGAGTTGCCAGGAACTGCAGCTGGCCTGGCAGGAGAGGAGTCTTCTCAGGGAGAGTCCGGGTGGCACCGGACGAAGGGGAGAACTCAGGCTGGAGGGGAGGGCTGCCATGGGGCAGCGTCCTGGGAGTACGTGGTGGCCCAGGAGGATGGGGAAGGACTGGATGACGGAGGATTTCTCCGCTTCCAGGTATGAAGGCAAGCAAGTGTGGCCGCTTTGGCTCCTGTAGGAAGGCACCCGGCTGGAGAGAGCTAGACACAGCAGCAGGGCAAGGCGCTGGTCCTTTGACCTCGTCTCCGTCCAAGAAGCAGAGGGAAGGAACTCAGTGCTCTTCAGTCCTCTACTGTGTCCCACTGCTGGCCCGGCCCGAAACGTGCTGAGAGGAGGGGCTGTTGCCAAGTTCTCCATCTTCTCTAGGAGCCAGGAGAGAAGAGGGAGATGGGTTGGGAGAGGGAAGAAGCTGACTTGCAAGCAGCTGGTGCAGGAGGGAAGGGATGCCGGGTACAGTGGATGGGGTGTTGCTGACTCACCCGGCTCACAGAGGAGTGGTGGGGTCACTCAGGGCTCGGGCATGACTCTGCAAGGGGGCAAACGGCAGTGAACGGAAAGGGTGAGGCAATGTCCTTTTACCTATATCCACCCCCCCACACACAAGCCTACCAATTCACCTCTCTCCTCCCCCCTCAAATCCCTCAATTTTGCTGATTTAATCCAAGTCCAGATGCTGTTGGCATTCCCCCCTTGCCGTCTACTCCTGCACTATGCTCCTTATTAAAGATTCCCTTTCATTTCTGACCTTAATGCCTCTCAGATCTTGGGGAAGAGGAGAAAGGCACACCGGACAGTATATCCAACCTGTGCTCTTGCTGGGAGCACAGGCTCATTGGTTTCCCTGGCCCTATGGGCTGAATGATCAGACTAGCCCACTCAGAAGGCGGCTGAAGAGGTTGCCCCGCACCAGCCCTAGTTCAGGGACTTACCTGCCGGGACAGCCCTAAGATCCCTCCACTGGCCAGAGTGGGAGTGCTGCTCCCAGGGTGGGGGGGTTGCAGGCTGGGACTGTTTCTTGGTCCTGGGGACACATCTCCAGAAGAGTCAAGTGTTTCTGGGGCTGGAGGGGAAGCTAGGGTGAGAGCAGGGTATAGAACCCCCCTAGATTACCTTAAGCAACCAAGCTGCTCCATCAGGGAAGAAAAAGCTCCATAGCAACAGGAAGCTGTGAGTCACCATAGCAATCCAGTTGCAAGAGCACCCCCCTACCAAGAGGCAGGAAATTGTCAGCAGCATCATTAGAGCAACCAGGGAAGAAGCGACAGGAAACTATAAGGATTGCCGTGGTGAACCAGGAGGGTACAACAGGAAGCTGAGCAGTTTCCATAGAAACCCAAGGAGAGCTAGAGAGAGAGGTACAGAGGAAGTGCTCCTTAGCAACAGGCTGCTGTAAGCATTATCCTAGCAACCAGATGGAAGGCTCTTTTAGCAATGGGGAAGCTGTACATAGTTGTCATGGCAACTGGGCTACTTGGATAGAAAAGGAATTGCTTAGCAGCAAGTGGCCTGAGCATCACCACGATGACCCAGCTGTTGGGAGCCACCCCTTGAGAGGTGCCTCACCCAGGGAAATTTGCTTGACGTCCAGATCCCAGGCCTCCTCCTCGACGCGGGCAGGCAGGGAGCAGGCTCCCGGTGAGAGGCCGGGAAGGGAAGGGCCGGCATGCTCAAAGGATGACACGGCCACGGAAGCCCGGGTGCGGGCGGCTGCAGAGAGGGGGCGGGGGGGTGGGGGGCTAGTGTGGGAAAGCCCTCCTGGCTCTCGGAAATGACCCTCCGTCTCACAGAGGGCCTCCCGGTCAGTCCCACCGTTTCTGGGAAGACATGTCCACGTGCTACCCTTCCTTTTCCCACCAGGCATCCCCACTATGCCCTCACTCTCAAGGTCTTGACTTCGGGGGCCGCCCCCCAGCACTGTGGTCCTCACCTCTTCCAGTGAGCAAGGCACTGAGTGTCCGCTCCCCAAGGGCTTTGATGTCCAGGAAGGGTTTATTCCCAATGCCCATGGAGACCATCTGCTGCACTCGGAGCTCTAGGAACAGAGACCCTGTTACCAACCTCCTTCAGCCCCCTCGCTCCAAGCCCCAGCACCGTCGTTGTCGTGGAGTCTTCTGCTCTTTGCCAATTCTCAGTCACCTGGTATCTCCTGTTCCTCTTGCTGTCAACTGTCATTACATGGATGGGGACGGGGAGCCCTGACTTCCTCCTCAGATAGCTATCTCTTGTCTCCCACACGTTACATCCTGTGCATTTGGCATTCCAGCTGCCCAACTTCTAGTTCTCCCCTTGTCCCCTCCATCTTGGGCATTAAGAGCAAACCCCTGGTTTCTACACACCTCTCGAGGTTATCCAGCGTTTCCCTAGATGCCACCTTATTTGACCATCCCCTATTATACTATGATGTAGCTGTCGCTTCCCATTTTCAGATGAGTGCAAAGAGGCTAAAGAGCATTAAAAACGAAAACCCCAAAACAAAACCCACAGAAATTCTAGTCTGGTCACACAGCAGGTAAATTCTGGAACCCTGGCCCAGTGAGCACTCCCCCACTCTCTTTTGCCCTACCGTTTGCTCTTGCTTTTTTGAAATTGGTAGCATCCTCTTTGCTTTTGGTGTACCTTCGGCTAATCTCTGTGCCCGCAATCCCTCTCAGTCAGACCTCGAATCACCTTGCAAGTCCTTCTTTCTCCATCCCAGGCCCTGGTTTCCCGGTGGTCTCCGCACGCTCCGGCTAACCTCCTGCCCTAACCTGGGCCCAAGCTGACCCTCCCCGGCTCTGCCCGGTACCCTTGTTATGAGCCGCCTGTCTCCAAAGCAGCTGGGCAATGGAACTGGTCCACTTGAGTTTGATCTCCGGGGAGGCTGCCTGCAGAGTGTATGCTTCTCGTGCACGCCGCCGCCGAAACCACAGCTCAAAGCAGAGCCCGCTGTCCCCGATGTTTTCTGTGAGCCCCATGTCAGCAGTCTGAGAAAGAGCGGGGGAAGAGTGGGTGCAGACAGTGAGTCCTGGCTAGATGGTACCACATGGAAAAGCACTACACTTGGCTTGGCATCTGATAGATGTTCAGTAAATGTTTGCTCAACACCCACCATATGCCAAGTGCTCCACATTTAGTCTTCACGACAACCATAATTTACAGAAGGGGAATGCCCAGACGCACGAAGCAACTCGCCCAGGGGCTTATCATGGCTTATTAGAGAACGAGTTCACACCCATGTCTATGTTGTTCCAAACCTAGGCTCTTTCCTCTATACTGTACCCCCCCGCCCCGCCCCCTGCCCCGGATAGCTCAAGCGAATGTAGAGAGAGACTAAGAATCCCTTAGAATCATGTCACATTGCCAGATCTAGGACTATAGGTCTCTCTCCCTCTCCCTCTTTTTTTTTAAGATCTTTTTTTTTTAAAGTCATCTCTACATGCAGCGTAGGGCTTGCACTTACAACCCTGAGATCAAGAGTCAGATGCTCAACCGACTGAGCCAGCCGGGTGCCCCTAGCGCTATAGGTCTCTACTGATGGACACCAGAGCTGTTTCCCTGAAGCAAGGCCTCTTTCCTCTCAGGTTCCGTTTCATTGTTTCCTTCCGTCAACTTAAGCTATTGATAGATACGTAGATACACGGATACATGGATAGAGGGACAACAGATCCTTTTCTCCTCACCCCCAGGGACCACCGCAAAAGCATATATTCTTAATGGGAAAGGTCCTCCTCTATTCTGGCTTGGAATGCCTCATAAATATCCAACAAGAATGAAAAGGAAAATCCCAAAGACAATGATAGGAATGTCTATCACCTCTGACACCTTAAACAGATGGTTGATAAGGTCAAAACCTGTCTTAGATGATTCAGATTCTCAACCTGAGTGGGGGTTGAATTATTTTCTAGAACATCTTGAGTTCTCAAGAAGAGCATGAATTCCTGTCCTGTCCCTCCCCCCCATCCTAGCATCCTACCTTTTTTTTTTTTAAGCTTTTTTATTTATTCAGGAGAGACACAGAGAGAGAGAGAGAGGCAGAGACACAGGGAGAGGGAGAAGCAGGCTCCCTGCAGGGAGCCCTATGTGGGACTTGATCCCGGCACGCCCAGAGCCGAAGGCCGAAGCTCAACCACTGAGCCCCCCAGCACCCCGCCCCCCACATCCTACCTTAAAGGCCTGCTTGTAAACAAAGGTCTCTGATCCCCCTTCAGTACCCTTGAGTTTGCTGAACAGGAGGAGATGCTCAAAGAGAAAGACATGGCGAAGGCACTTCTTTCGGCCACAGATGACGGTGAAGGGGTCCCGGTGTAGGAGCTGGCCCTGCTCCTTCAGATCTGTCTGGGGAAAGGGAAAGGAAAAATAATTGGCTCTGGAGCCCTTTGGGTATATTTTATGGGGAGTAAAAATGGGATTTATACGGCAAGGGGCCTAATGTACTGGTTCTCAGGCTGAGTCAGGAAATCAGGGAAGGCCTCAGCCTAGAATCCATCTCCTGGTCACCGTGCGCAGCACACCTGGCCTAGCAACATAGTCCTGCCTCTCTGGACAAAAGGTACGCTGCAGGTAATGTTTACAGCATCCTTTGGGGAAGTCTCTGGATGTTGGGGATGAAGCACCATTCTGACCCAGGAAGAGAATCAGCAAAGAACTGAGGGGAAAGAGGTCTATCACAGAGGAGGCAGGTTCCCCACTTGTTCTGGAACACCTGGGCTAGAGAGACCAGGTACAGGAGGATAAGGTATGTGCCGGGTGTCCAGATACCTGAGGAGGTGCGGAGTCGATAGCGCAAGAGAAGAGTTGGAAATGGACAGGAAAGCAGAGGCAGAGGGAGGACGGTGGGGTGTTGGGCAGGACACAGCTTCTTTATACATGAGGACACTGAGGCCCAGTGAAGTTCAGTGACTTGACCAAGCTCATCTCGCTGATTAGAAATTGGAGCCTGGGCCCTCTGACCTTGAGTCTAGCTCTCTTGTCACCAGCCACACAGCTCGTGAGGCCACAGGATTACACAGTCGGAACTGGAGTGATGAGCCATGGTCTCACCTCGCAGCCACGCACTGCTTCTACGGCCAGCAGGTCCCTGCCACGGGTCTCCTGTTCCCGGAGCAGCTGCACGGCAGCCCCCAGAGCCTGGCGCTCCGAACTCAGCTCAGGCCCAGCTTCCCTTAGGAGCTCCTCCAGCAGCCGCCCGTACTGAGCCAGCTGCTCCAGGGGCTGCTCCAAGGCCCGGGGCAGGTGAGGGCCACTCTCCACAGAGCCCTGGTTGGGGAGGAGACAGACAGGGATGCGGTGAGGGGCTGGAGCTAACAGGGGCTGAGCTCTGTCAGGAAGGTGGAGGGTAGTCAAGGCTGTGGGGGGTCGATGAAGCCCAGATACTGCCAGAGGGAAGGTGAGACTTTCCCCAGGAAGGAGGCAGGTGGGGGCCTGCAGGAGACTCAAGCACCCTCTCTCTGTACCTCGAAGGGGAATGCAAGAGGAGTAATCCCTCATGGTCTTTGGCTTTTAAGCCTCGAAGTCACTTTCACGTGTTTTGATGTAAAGTCTAGACCCACATAGCGCTCTGACTTAGGGTTAGTAGCTACTGCGCCCGTTTACCAGATGTAGAAACAGAGGCCCAGCGGAATCAAGAGTCTTGCCCAAAGTCCCTCGGGATTAACATTCAGGCTGGCTGGGTTCCCAGTCCGGGGCTTGTCCCACCCCCAGCACTTCTGGGAGATGATTGGTAGGAAATGTCCCCTGACACATCCAGGGGAGCTTTCTTCCCAGAGGGACTCTGAGGTTGGGTGTGCTTTAGGTATTTCCGGCCCCCCCACCCCATGGGGGTCAGGGCAAAGGTTACCTTGGTCGGGGGGCCAAGCGCGGCCAGACCGTTCTCCAGCTTGTGACGGTGCTTCACGTACTGGGCGTAAAGGCTGAACTGGTCCCCCTGTGCCAGTGGGGGAGACACAAGCCACCCTGTGGTGAGAGACGGGCCTCCCCCCTGCCTCGCCCCCATCCTCACTACATTGCACAGGAGACACAGGCCACTCCTCGGCCTGGGAAGTGACAGGCTCCCACGGTCAAGGGAAGGCCCCGCCGAGGGGAGGACAGGCCACAGCTGCACAGATCCAGGGGAGCCCAGGGGATGCACCCTCTGGGGGGGGGGCGGATACCGAGGAGGAAGGACAAGGGGGGGGGCGCTGAGATGCAGGAGGGCAGGGCCGGGACAAGGTGCAGAGGTCACTCACGTGGCGGAGGAAGCAGGCTCCAATGCGCAGGGGGTGGGCCGCGCAGCCCTGAAGCTCCCGGAGGAAGTGGGTCCGGTGGAAGCTGCGAAGCCTCTCGCGGGAGCCCAGGGCAGCCGCCCAGGTGCCCCTCAGGTCAGGAGTCAGCTCAGGGCCCGGGGGTGGCGCTGGCTCGCTCAAGGCGGCCACGTACTCCTGCTCACAGGCAATCAGCTCTGAAACCAGCCGCTGCTGGGCACTGCGGGGGCAACAGGGAGGTCGCGGAGGCCGGTGCGGGGCTCGGGGCCCACCCCGGCTCCCTGGCCGCACCCTCACCTGAGGCTCCGCTTGCGCTCCATGCGGGGGGTGCCTCCTCCCCAGGGCCCCTCCGGGCCTCCGGCGCGGCCCAGCAGCACGTGCTCCCGGGGCGAGCAGGTCCTGTCTACCACCTCGGTGCTGCTCACCTCCAAGCCTCGGATGAGCACCGGCCGCGCAGGCCCAGCCTCCGCCTCCGCAGCCGGGTCCGGGCCCTCGTCGGCGCAGTCCTCGCCGCAGGGCGCCAGGGAGCCGTGGGACGGGGCAGCGCGTGGGCCCGGGCTGCCGGGGAGCAGCAGGGAGCTGAGGCTGGGCGCCGGGCTGTGGGGGCCCCGGGGGGCGCCCCCGCTGCTGGCGCTGTCCGCCCGCCGTCGCCGCTGGCCCCGCGGACTCGCCTCCTCGCCCAGCTGCTGCTGGATCCTCCTCTCCAGCTCCTGGCAGCGGGCCCGGCAACGGCCCCACTCGCGCAGGGCGGCGGGGCTGCCCAGGTCCAAGGCCAGGGCCCGCATCTCCTGGAAGGAGCCAGCGCTCGGCTCCGGGGCCCGCCGCAGGGCCAGGGCCGCCAACGCCGCCTCCCTGCCGGGGCCTGCTCCCGCCAGGCGCGCCGCGCCTTCGTTCACCCACTCGTGCGCCTGCGGGGAGGGCGGGGCGCAGTGAGGGGGGCTGCTGTCCTCCCGCGCCCCAGTCCCCCCCAGGCCCCGCCCCCGCGCCCCCTCCCGCACCCCAGCCCACGGCCTCCCCATCCCTTCCCCAAGCCTTAGCCCACAGGAGGCCCCGCCCCTGCGCCCCAGCCCACGGCCTGCCTGCGCCCTTCCCCACGCCCCAGCCCAAGGCCTCCAGCGCCCCCTCCCGTGCCTTTGCCCACCGCCTCCTTGCGCAGCTTCCCTGCGCACCTGCCCACGGCCTCTGGGCTGCAGCCCTCCAGGTCGGGAGAACCGCCCGTTACCACCCGCGCCCAACCGTGGCCCTGGGAGCCTGGAAGGAGGCAGCGGGGCCTGCGTGAAAGACGAGCCCGGGCTCCCACAGACCGGTCAGGGGTAGGCCCGGACCTGCGACCTCCACGCCCGGGAGGCAGGTCCCCGCGGGGCACGCCGGGCCAGTGAGCAAGCAGGGGGCAGGGCGGACACTCCAGGCAGCGGGGCTCCCAACTCCCTGCTTCCAGCCCCTGCGGACTGCTCCCGCTCCCGGCGGAGGGCAGCGCGGAAGGCGGTCGCACACACCTGCTGGAAAAAGCGCTGGAGCCGCAGGGCCCGATGGAGGCCGCTCTCAGCCTGCTCTAGCCGCTGTTCAAAGACATCCAGAATCTTCTGTGAGGCGGCGTCCTCCTCCAGCGCCAGGGCCTCCCGGGCCTGCGCCAGGCGCTCCTGGAGATAGAAGGCGGCACTCAGACCTGGCCATCTGTCCCAGACTGGCCTCCTTCCCGCCGCCTCCTCCCCTGGCCTCTCCCCTTCTCCCCTGCCCCTCCCCCTTCTCCCCTGCCTCTTCCTCCTTCTCCCCTGCCCCTCTCCCCCTTCTCACCTGAACCTCAGTGCTGAAAGCCCTGAACTGTAGCTCCGTCTCCTGTAAGGCCGACAAGGAGTCCCCCGGCACAGCAAAACTTGCCAGCTGCTCCTCCCCTGGGCCTGAGAGCCACTGCAGCACCTGCAGCAAACAGGGCAGAGGGCAGGGCCGTGAGGGAGAAGGAGGCCACGCGATGGGGAGGAAAGCTGAGATCCAGCTCCAACCCCACCATCCCAATCTGCAGCAACCTGGGCGAACCCCCTCCTGTCAGCTGTCACGTGGGAATGGTAACAGTGGTCGGTGGTAGTCTCCACGAGGGTCAAGTGAGAAAGCAAGAGATCTTTGGTAAAGCACGAGGACGGGAAGCTGGGCTGGCAGGAAGCACTGCGGGAGGTGGGTGAGGGGTCCAGGGCTAGGCTTGGAGGGGACATAGATAAAGTTGGCGTGAGCCTGAGGCAGGATGTGATGACCGTCTGGATAACTGAGGGCCAGGAGAAATTTCACATTCACTGAGTCCATCGACGGGTGGGCAGGGGTCCCAGGGACCTGGCTTGGAGAGACAACTCAGTGTGTGTGTGTGTCCAGCTCTGGTTGCCTATTATGGCGATCTAAGGACTCTCATGTTAGTTCTGGGATATTTGATCAAAAAAGGGATAGTAATTTTTTCCTCTGAAGAAAGGCTGGAAGCTAGGGTAAGACAGCCTGAGGATGAGAAGCCTGAGAATGTTCCCAAAAAATAGGGCCCAACCATAAACCCTTGTACAGGCCTTTGCTGAATTCATTTGGTCATCCTTACAACCTTGAGAGGGAAGTGTCGTTATCATGATCCCCATCCTACAGATGCAGACTTGGGAACTCAGAGATGCTTCAAGATTTGTCCAACATCTCACTCCTAGCAAAGCCAGAACCCAAGCTGAGAACTTTAGGCTCCAATTCCTGTGTGCTAACAGTTTTGAAACGCGGAAAACAGCTAACAAGCAAGCGAGCAAACAGTAAGAGATACAACTCCTTGAATCCTGGGTTGGAGGAAGCCAATATGTAGAAACCCCAGGAAACAGGACCCCTGAGTGGCACAGCCGTTTGGCACCTGCCTTTGGCCCAGGGCGCGATCCTGGAGACCCGGGATCGAATCCCACATCGGGCTCCCGGTGCATGGAGCCTGCTTCTCCCTCTGCCTGTGTCTCTGCCTCTCTCTCTCTCTCTCTCTCTGTGAGGCTATCATAAAAAAAAAAAAGAAAGAAAGAAACCCCAGGAAATAGACAGCCCTGCCCCACTTTGACACTGCCCCGGATGCCCACATGCAGGTCCATGTGGTGCTCATTCACCACGCTTGGGGCTCTGGGGGAGCAGATTGCAAAGGCCCCTGGGTCCCGCATGTTAGAATAATCCCCTATTCTAGGGGGATTTTTCTTTTAAGATTTATTTATTCAAGAGAGAGACACAGAGAGGCAGAGACACAGGCAGAGGGAGAAGCAGGCTCCATGTAGGGAGCCTGACATGGGACTCGATCCCGGGACCCCAGGATCACACCCTGGGCCAAAGACAGACACTCAACCGCTGAGCCACCCAGGGATCCCCCCCCCCGCTTTTTTTTAAAAAAGATTTTATTTATTTATTCATGAGAGACACAGAGAGAGAGAGAGACATGGGCAGAGGGAGCAGGCTCCACGTAGGGAGCCAGATGTGGGACTCGATCCAAGGACTCCAGGATGCCACCTGGGCGGAACGCGGCGCTAAACCGCTGAGCCACGGCGGCTGCCCTCCTGTGGGGCTTTGAACCCCAGGAGAGAAGAATCAAGACTCAGAGAAACCAGTCTTATCCCCAGATCTTCCCCACAGAGGCCTTAGCATCTCCCATTATCCTTTCCTCTGGAGGTGGAAGAAGGTGGGACCTGTCCAGCCTCAGGCTTGGGGATGACATCGCAGAAAGAGCTGAGGGAACACGGATAGCAGTGTAGCTAAAAAGCTGGTATCAATGGACTTTTATTATTTTAAGCTAACAGGCACCCTCGGGTCAATCAGCTCCTCCCAGAATCCCCTAGGGCACCCAAACATCTCTTCTAATCTCATAATCTCTAAGGATCCTTGATCAAATATCAACCGCGGGGCAGGGGAGGTCTGGCTTCTCTTCAGGGGCTGAGGTGCTGTCTTCCTCTTGTTGACTCTCACCCCCACCAGGCCAGCCTCTGGTGGGGTGAGGACAGAGGGAGGGCCATCGATCAAGCCAGGTGAGGGGAACACCATCACTGTGGATGCAGGCAGGAAAGGGAGTGCGGGGGCCAGGTTCCCAGGCCATGGAGGAGCGGTCTGGGGGTCCTCACCTGCTGGAGTCGCTGCAGGCGCTGTCGCTGCTCCCGCCGCTGGACGTGCAGGTTGGAGAGCCGCACAAGCTGGTGAATGGCCTCGTCCACCTCCTGGTACACTGCAGCTGGGCCCGGGCCCTCCAGCCTGCGGGGGGAGAGGGGCCCAGTGAGCCACTGTCCTCGTCAACACCCCCCGCCCCCATTCGTCCCGGCACAGCCTCGGGTCAGAGTACAGGCCTGGATTTGACTCCCCCACTGACTGGCTAATCCCGGCCAAGGCATTTAACACTCCCCATCCTCCAAGTCCCCGTCTGTGATGCCAGGGGCATCAGGTGAAGGTCATGCCAGGTGGGAAAGCATGCTCTCCTGTCCATGGGCTCGCCCAGTACGAGCCATCTGGCAGCACTGGTGCCCCCCCCCCCCCCGCGTACTTGCTGCTGTGGGTGGATCGCAGCCTCATCAGGATGGCGCCCCCGTCCCTCTGCAGCTCCGTCAGCCGTGGATCCGCCAGCACCTTCTGTAGGGGCTCGAGCATTCCCGCGGCCTCCTGGGGGCGGGGAGCGGATGCCTGGAGGGGTTCCAGCCGAGCCACGGGCGCCCCCATCCCCTTGGGCCTGTCTCAAGTCCTACCTCTCCTGCTGGCTCGGCTGCTCCCTCCAGCTCCTCGATGGCTCGCCGCACAGAGCACAGCACCCCTTGGCACAGGCGGCACAGCCTCGCCACCTCCTGCAACACACACCGGGGCTGCAGGTGTGGCCGCCCGCCTGGACTTTTGTGGAGGCCAAGCTGGGTCCGCTTCCGACTTTGTCGCTTACTAACCGTAGGACATTGGTGTTGGCTCAGGTCATGATCTTAGGGTTGTGAGATCGAGCCTGGAGTCAGGCTCCGCACGGAGTGTGGAGCCTGCTTGGGATTCTCTCTCTGCCCCACACCCCTCACTCATGCTCTCTCTCTCTCTCTCAAAGAAAAAAAAAAAGATTCACAGAATTTTGTGAGGTTTAAAGGGATGATGCCAGGCAAGCACTTAGCCAGGACTGGCACCTTAAACAGCTTAGTCAGTGTGAGTCTCCTTTCTCCCTGTCTGCACTAAGTTTTCACCCTAAAAATCCCCTCTTCTCTGCCTATTCAGATCCACTTCCCTTTGATGTACAGCTTAGAGACCATGTTACAGACCCCCTTTAATACTTAGCTCATTTATCTTTTCTTGAATATTCACAGCACTTAGCTTCATAGAATCGTAGATTATATCATGATTGCCACACTGTGGGCGAGGACCCCGAAGCCTGGATGTTGGCGCAGGGAACATGCACAGAAGGTGCCTCTCTGCACGTGGGTACAGTTCCTTGTCCAAGGTCACGTGCTACTAGAACCAGCCTTCCTGAGTGTCAGCTCTTTCCAGAACCGCAGTAAAATGACCTTACAATCTTCTCCAATAGCTTGTGACATAGGTCCCACCAAAAATCTTATGCTGTTTGATGTCATGTTAAGAACTTATTTCATACGCTCCTCTCATCTCCCCCGCAGCCCAAGGTACATGCGTGGTATTTTGCTCATGGGCTGTGAGCCATAAATACTTGTTGAGTGGAATGGAAAGGAAACCACTTTTTCCCGACCCCAAGGACATGTCTCAGGTCTGGCTTCTCTCTCCCAGAACGTCCTCAGCCGGGTCATTCCTGGCTCCCGCCTTCTTGGGTAGGGGAGGTGGAGCTTACCTGGTGTGTCTCTACCCAGTAGCTGGGAGAGGGTTCCCTGTGGCCCGCCAAGTCCCACGGCAGCTCCTCTGGCTTGGCCACTCTTTTCAGATCACTCTCTGATAGCAACTCAGCGCCCTGTAGACACGTGAAGACAGGGGGTTCCTGGCCTGGCCACCAGGGGTTCAGGGACCAGCCTGGGGTCCTCGCCATCTTCTTCCGTCCCCACTACCGAGGGGCACTAGGGGACTCAAACCTGAAGCCCACAGGGTTCAGTCAGAGGATCATCATGAGTGAGAACCAGCAGTCGCTGAATGAGTGGAGGGTCTCCTGAGTCCTGAGGGCAGAGAAGAATAATGCTAAACTGTGGGCAATTTAGCCCTAGGTTAGGGTCGGGAGGGGTACCCGTGTCAAGGGCTGGTTACCTGAAGTTGACTTAGGACAGGAATGAGGGCTGGAGGCAGTGGGGGTGCCTTCCGAAGGTCCAGCAGGATGGACAGCCCCAGTATCTGGAGATCAGGCCTGAGGGTGTGGGAAGAGCCAAGGAGGCAGTGTGTGTACACACGCGTGTAAGTGTGCGTGGAGGGCATGAAGGCACAGGGTCTGGTTTTACTGCTCTAGTCCTCAGGAGAAGTCAGTTCCTGGCACTTTCGGGAAGCAACGGGCAAAGGGCCCAAGGGTGGTTTTGTGTCCAAGAGGCAGTGAGCTAGCATTCGGGAGTCTCCACTCACACGGCCCCAGGTCCCAGGATCAGGGTCTGGAAGGGTGTGAGTCCCCTGCCAGGACACAGCGGGGTGCCCCCTAGGTTCGTGGGGCCCAGCGAGTCGCTGCTGAACGACGACATCAGTACCCTGATAATCTAGGTCATGTCTTAGGATACTGAACGTCAGCAGTGTTGATTCTGAGGACTGATGAAGATATCCTGGAGGTCAGAGGTCAGCGAGGTCAGGGCTCAATGGCTTAGAAATTGAGGGGTGAGGAAGTAGGCATCCCGGAGGTCAGGAAGCCAGTGTCCTAAGAAGAAAGGAGGTCAGGGCCCCCATGAGCAGGAGGTTAACGGCCAGGGTGCCCATGCTGGGCCTCGGTTACCTGAGCAATGAGTGGAGGTAACGAAGAGCAGTGCTCAGCATGTCTCGGGAGGGTGGGGGCTCCTCAGGAGGGCCCGGTGGGGTAATGGTCAGCAGAGCTCGCCCACTCTGGTCCACCCCTCCTGAGGACACAAAATGGCCAGGCTGTCCAGGCCAGGGGCAGGCCTTGGCTACCTACCACCCACCCCGCCTCCCTCCACAGCCCACCCGGGCTGCTTCTCTTCCCTTGACCCCCTTCCCTTCAAACACCGATGCCCACTGACCAGTCAGGACCAGGAATCCAGATGCCATTAAGTCCCAAGCTACATCCAGGTCATCAGAGATGGAGACCGGAGAGTCCTCTTCTGGGACGCTGGCCCCTCCCACTTCCTGCGCCGTCTCCAGGGGTGGTGGTGGTGGGTCTGACACGAGCCCCTCTGGACCTGTGGGTCCTACACAGACACAAGCAGAGCTACGTGCCTGAGGCGGGGAGCCTTCTGGCTGTTGGGCCCCCAGCACCTCTCCTAGGCCCAACCTATGTGGTCCTTGCCCTGCTGACTTTGGTGTCATCTCACCTGCCGCGCTTGCCAGGCTGGGTCCCTCTGGATCTTTCTCTCTGGCCGGCTCTCCTAGAGGTCCGCAGGCTTCTGGGGGCTGAGGCTCTTTTTTGTCTGCTGGTTTGAGTTCCTCTTTCAGCTCCGGCTCCGGCTTCCCTGAGCCTCCGTGCTCCTCCTCAAGCGGGCTGCATCCTGGGAGCTCGTGCTCATTTGGCGGGTGCAGACTGACAGGGACTTCCTGGTGGCTGGCCTCGTCCTTGTCCCCAGGGCTCAGTGGAGCACTGTCCCCTCCCCGGCTCAGAGCCCCTCTGCCTGCAGCACGCTTCTTCCTCCGGTTTCCTTTGCCTGTTCTCCGAGGGGTGTCGGGGGGTCCTTCGGCCCCCTGGCCTGCCCCTCCTCCCAAGTCCCCCGACCTTAGGGGGAAAGATTCAGAGGCTTCCCCCAGTGTCTCTGCTGGAGACTCTGACGCCTCGAGAGCTGCTGCTTCTGGGAGAGCCTCGGCTCCTGGGGGTGGCCCAGGGGAGGCCCCCGTGCTGCTTCCCTCACCGGGTGGGCGCACCCCATCCTGGTCCCGGGGCCCCAGGCCCTTCTGGTGCATCCAGGCCCGGTGTCTCCTGTGCCGGCCCTTCCCTCCAGCACCCTTCCGGGTGGGTACTGTCCGGGTCCTGGGGAGGCCCTCAGAGCCCTGGGCATCTGTGGGGCTCCCCCGCACCGGCAGTGTCACCTCCAGCAGCTCCACGTACTCGCCTTCAGGTCCTTCAGCGGGGGCATTGTGTCCATCGCCAGGACTCCGGGTGCCCAGGGCCTCCTCAGGGAGTGGAGGGCTGGGGAGCCCTGGGGGTCCAGAGGGCAGTTTGGGGGGCAATGTGCTTGGCCGATGTCCAACCATGAGGCCGCCTTTATGCACAAATCGTGGGCAGATGAGTTCTGCCCAGGGCAGCCGCTGAATCCCGGACGGCGCCGAGAGTAGGCAAGTGCTGAGGCGACCTGTTGGCCGGTCCTTATTGATGCCTTGCAGCCACTCGGGTGTGAACAGGTAGGCACAGGCCTCATTGGGCACTGGCAATTCCTGGACCCGCCCACCCCCCGGAGCCAGGCACTTGAGCGCCAGGCGGGGTGCTTGGGCTGCTGAGGGCACCACTTGCAGGTAGAAGTCTCCTGGGCGCAGCAGCTGCCAGGGCAGGGCTGCTAGCTGCACCACCACCTGCTCGTGCAGGCAGAGGGGCCAGCCCTCATGGAAGAAGAGGAAGCCGCTGTACTGGGCCTGGGGAGAGAGGTGGGACGCCGCGCTCAGGCCTCTGCTGATGAAGCGGCAGGAGAAGGCAGTTAGAATGGGACCACCCTAGGAAGGGCTGCCCTTTTGCCTGCTGGGTTAGCATTCCAGGGGAGTCGGAGGGGTGTCCGAGGGGGTTCATGTAGCAGAGGAAGGGATTGGGACTGGCTGGTTCTCTGGTAGTAGGAAGCTTCTCTAGGAAATGCGTTCCATGCGTGGGAGAGTAACAACTGAGTCATTACAAAGACATGGTCAGCAGATGCCGTGGACTTGGAGGGGTCAGAGACTCTTAGGAGCCTTTATATCTGCAGAAGTGAAGGATCTCTGTTGAGTCACGTCTGGGGGAGTTAAGTATCTTGAGAAATCAGTATGGGGGGGGAATGTCTGGAATTGGGTCTGGTGGGCCTGGGTCTTGGGGAATTGATGTCTCTTAGGGGTGAGTACTTGGGGAAGACGAGTGTCTTTGTGTGAGTTAGTATCTGAGCGGCCTGTGCCTCTGGGGGGATGAGTGTTGGGAGGTGGCATCTCTGGGAAGAGGGAAATTAGTCTGGAGAGTCTCTGGAGTGAGACAGTAGAGGTTAGGGGCCACTCACACAGGCTTCCTGCTGGACTTTGGCAAGCAGGTGCTTGGCGGGCACCAGGAAGTCCAGCGTGTACCTCAGCGCATCCTCCCGATAAGTCCTCTCCACCACCTGGAACACCTGACCCAACAGCGTGGGGGCTGTCGCCTCGAAGGGTGGGTACAGGGCGGCAAGCGTGCTCTGCACACAGTCCTCCACTGGCTCGGGCTCCTGGGGGCGAGAAGGCCAGCTGCAGATCCCTAGAGAGCACGGCCCCGGGGGCACATGGTGCACACAGTGTGCGCTCACAGGGGCCCCTGGGGAAGTGCCGCTGGATGAGCCTGGGGTGGCCGCAGGGGGCCAGCAGGGCCATCTCCCCTGGAGATCCAGGGAGGCTTTACTGCGAATGTCTCTGATCTCGGGGCCAGTGCTGGCTACTGTGAGCTGGACCATTGCATAGTTTCTCCTCAGAGGAGACAGTCCTCTGGGCCACCAGGGGATTTGGTGGTGGCTAGTAGAGCTCTGGGGCGTGGAGGGCTTTGGCCCGGCCATCTCACAGGCCCATCCTCATGGGGCCTGCGGGCTAGCGATCTCCAACGGAGGTGGAGGTGCCACCACCATAAAGGATCATAAACTAGAGATGGTCTTTGGGTGGGAAGGAGGAGGACTGAAGGGTTGTCTGTCTCTCTAGCAACCTTCCCTCTCCCGGAGTGGCCCTAGAGCAATCACCCACTCCCAGAGCATGTGGGATTGGGTTACAAAGAACTGGGTGGGGGCAGCCAAAAGAGGAAAAAGTCACAAAAGGAACATGTGGGGAAGGGAGGAGGCCTTGATGGTATGTATTTTTCCAAATCCAGGAGGACCTCTCTGCCAGCTCCACCTGCAGTTGCTGTCTCCGAAGGCAGCCCTGCTTCCCCCAGAATTGCCGCCCTGAGCGCATGGTGGGGGGGGGGGAGCTGGCTCTGGCCCAGGCCCTCAAGGAGCGCCCCTCAGGCTAGTCCTCTGCAGGCCAATTTCTCTTTCAAGATGCCTTTGAAGTTCTTTTTATCGGGTTTTCAGGGGCAGGGGGTGCTCAAGGGGGTGTCGGTGGAGTTCTCCACTGCCACACACCCCGCCCCCCACCCCCGTCCAGCCTCTGCCCTGCAGACAAAACTGCGTATTCTACCAGCTGGCCCATGTGTCTGAGCCTCTGGGGAGCTGGGGCAGCCCCTCCAGGGACGCACCCTCGCGGCGTGGGCACGGAGCCGCGGCCCAGGGTGTGTGGGCGGGCGGACAGACCCCCCAGTGTTCCGGGGACGGGGGGGGGGTTGGCGGAGCGGGCAGTCCGATCGGAGGCCAGGAGGGGGGAGCTGGAGCTCGAGGAGCGAGGCAGCTGCAACCCATTAGGGGCGGTGAGCTCATGGCTGAGAGAGAGTCTCCGCCACAGGAAACTGCAGCAGCAGGAGGGGAGGAGGGGTCTGGGGCGGGAGGCGGCGGGCAGGAGCGCGCGGCGCCGGCCTCGCTCGGCCGCGACCAGCAGCGAGAGCAGAGCCACTGAGTCAGCTCTCCCTGGCCCAGTTCCCCTGGTGCCCCGCTCCGGCCTCCCTGCACGGGGGAGCCCTTCCTCCGGGGCCCGCGGCCCGCGGTGCTCCTCCCGCCCCCGGGCCCTCGGGCCTCGCTCCTCCGCCCCGCGGCCGCCGCCCGCTCCTGCAGGGGCTCCAGGCAACTTCTGCGGGGAAAGTTCCCAGAACCGCGTCCGCCCGCGCCCGCGCCGACCCCTCCCCGGCAGCCCCCGCCCCGGCCCCGGCCCCCGCCTCGCGCCGGCTCCCGCGTCACGCCCCCGGGCCCCGCCGGCTCCCCGCCCCCCTCGGTTCCCGGCCCGGGGCAGCCCCGTCCCCCCGCGGACATGTCCCTCCCCGGCCGTGTCCCCGGCCCCCGCCCGGCGCAGCTGCGGCCGGTCCCCAGGGCCGGATGGGTGGGCCCCGCGCACCGGGCTGGACTGGGATGGAAAATGGTGGTTCCAGGCGGGTTGTCCTGCCGACCCGAGGGCGCCCCCGCACCCCAGGGGCGCCGCCGCCCGGACTGCAGGGGTCTCCGCTAGGGGCGGGGGGCTGGACCCCGGGGGGGGCTGCTGGACCCCGGGGGAGGAAGCTGGGCCCCGGGGGGGGCGCTGGACCCCGGGGGGCGGGGGGCGCTGGACCCCGGGGGAGGACGCTGGGCGCCGAGGGGGCGCTGGGCCCCGGGGGACGGAGGCTGGACCAGCCTGCAAAGAAGGCACACGTCGGGACGGACGAGGGCGCGGGGAGGTGTGGGGTCGGGGGGACCGAGGGGCGGAGGGGGGAGGGGACAAGAGGAGGGAAGAAAGCCGAGGGCGGCGGGGCAGACGGACCGGCGATCAAAGGGAAGAAGGGGGATGGGAGGGAGGCAGGCGAGCCGGAGCGCTGGGCTGGCGAGCGGGCGCCGGGGACGGGGCCGGGGCCGGGGCCGGGGGACGGGGCTGGCGGGGACCACGGGGCCGTGGCGCGGGACTCACCATGGCTCGGGCGGGCGGGGCCGGGCGCGCTGCCGCCTCCCTCCGTCCCGCCGCCCGCGTCTCGCCGGGTCTGGCTGGGGGGCAGCTCCGGTCGCGGCGGCGCTCGGGCCGCGGGGCCCCGCCAGGGAGGGCCGAGACGGCCGCCCGCCCGCGTGCCCGCCCCGCCCCGCCCCTCCCGCCGCGCCCCGCCCCGCCGCGCCCCTCCCGCCCTGTCCCGCGCCCCGCTCTCGCTCTCGCTCTCCCGCGGGCTGCCCGGGCCCTGCGGACCTTGCCCCCTGCGCCCGCCGCCGCCCGGCTCCCTGCGGGGTCCGCGCGGCCCCCCAAGGACACTCGGGAGGCTGCGGGGCGTGCATTCCCGGGGGGCCCGGCCTGGGATGGGCGGCTTGGCGGCCGAACTCGCGTGGGGGCCGGTCCTCGGAGCCCAGAGGAGGCGCGGGCCGCGCCGACGGAGGGCAGGCCCCGGGAGCCCTTGCACCCTCGGGGGCTCGCGCCTCCGCCCCTCCCATCTCCCCGGGCCTCGAGCCTCCGCGCTCCGACAATGGGCCCCTGTGTGCGGCGGGGGAGGGCGGTCCCGGGGCGGCGAGGGGTGGGGGTGACGGCGGGGCCGGCCCCGGCTTGGGGTGGCCCTGCAGGGGCGTGAGCCTCGGCCGCACCGCGTCCGGAGCGGTGTGCTCGCGCCCCCCCCCCCCGCACCCTCCGCACCCCCTCCAGCTCAGGCCCCAGGACTCGAGACGCGACGCCGCCCCTTCCTTCCTACGGGTGGCCCGGGGGGTGGCCCAGGTGTCCCCGGGCCGCGCGGGCTGTGGCGGTGAGGATGGCTCTCCACGCAGCAGACAAAGGCGCAGGCCGGTTAAGAAAGTTCTAGGCTCACCCATCCTCCACCGCGTCGCGTGTGCCCCGAGCCGGCGAGGCTTTCCCAGGGCCCGAGGAGGCCTGGGCACGGACGGGAGATGCCAGCACCCCGCCCCTCCCCCCCCCGCGTGCAGCCCCTGCAGGGGCGCGGGGCGAGGGGCGCTTCCCGGGGTTGGACACTCGGCAGCAGACGGGCCTGACGGCGGTGCCACCGCGGCTGGGGGCTGGCGTTGGAGAACCTGGGCGGGGGGATGAGCACCTGCGCGGGGGGCGCCGGGGCCGGGGCAGTCGCTGGGGCAGCGGGAGGGGGGCCTGGGGGTGGGCTCTCCTGTGGCCTCCTCGGGACGCTAAACGCCGTCCCTTCTCCGCTCCACGGGCTCTGGAAATGAAGAGAGAGAGACTGTTCATCCTTCTTGGAGACCAGAAGGTGCCCCTGCTCCATAGTGTCAGAGAAGAAGCAAAGTCCAGGGCAGACCCGGTGACCGTCTCCCCCGCGGAGGCAGGGCAGGGAGCTGGGCGGTGGGCTCCGCAGCCCCAGACTGGAGCCTCCTTGTAGTTTCTGCTGGGGACCCGGGAGAGTGAGATTTTGCTACCCCCTGGTGTCTGCTCCATCAATGCCACCCTATAGCTCCTTCCAGAGGCCGCCACTTAGGAAACTCTTAGCGGATATTATTACAAATCTTATTCCCTTGCTTCAGATCCAGCTAGCCCGTCCCCAGGGTTGAGAAAGAGTCTGAACTTTCCCTTAGCAGGTCTTACATTCCTTACGCTCAAGCAAATTGTGTAGGAAACTGTAGGTAGGATCCAAGGTTCCTGCAATTAGGAAGTGGAATATAAATTAAGCTGGCTCTGGGAGTTCATGAACTTCTAGTAAAATAAATAAATAAATAAAGGAGTGGATCGTTTTTTCCCCCTATGGAAAAATGGGAGCCATTGAAAGTTTTTGAACCTGTTGGGGAATGGAGGTTAGTTGCAAGGCCTGGGATCCAGTGACTCCTTTCCAGGAGTTGTTTTTAATCTATCCTAAATAAGGAAGGTTTATTTTATGAAGTAAAGTGACATATATGTTTATGATGGATAAATACCCTTTCTCCAAGAATGGAGGCTCTCACCTAAGGGAGTGTGTGTCTGTAGAGTGTATGTTGATGGGTGTGTTTGGGGGGATGTGAAGTGGGGGTGGTTATGGGGAGGAGTTGGACGTTGGGAACAGCCCAGGCTTAGAAGCCTTCTCTTGCATTCACAAAGCGTTCTCACCATATTTTGCCAATTTCAGATTCTTCCGGGTTTACCAAACTCCCATTTTACAGATGAAATTCTGGCTTACTGAAGTTAAATAACTTGCTGGAAGCTACACAGTAAGTAGAAAAGCCAAGATTTAAGGCCAGGCAGTCTGACTCCAGAGCCTTCACTCTCAACCACCAAGTTACAGGATTTCATCCGAGCTGTCAGAGTCCACAAAAGAAGCACTCTGAACACTACAGCACCCACCTAACCATCGTGTTAGAAAGTGTCTATTTTGGTAATAAGCCAGGGCTGAAAGAGTTTCTCTTTTTTTTTTAAGATTTTTTATTTATTCATTCATGAGACACAGAGAGACAGAGAGAGGCAGAGACCCAGGCAGAGGGAGAGGCAGGCTCCCTGCAGGGAGCGCGATGTGGGACTCGATCCGATGGGGGGGGGGGTCTCCAGGATCACACCCTGGGCCGAAGGTGGTGCTAAACCCCTGGGCCAGCCACCGGGCTGCCGCTTTCTTTCTTTCTTTCTTTTTTTTTTTTTTGAAAGAGTTTCTCAAAGTGACAGATATGTCCCTGTGGGTCAGAGAATAAACATCCTTTTCTTTTCTAGACTTGTTCTAGAATAAAGAACAGTTAAAATAATCCCCAAGAAATTTCCAATATGGTTTTCACAGGGAAGTAGTGTCATCCAACCCTGAGGGAAGGCGGAAGAAGTAATTGGATCTGTGACGTTCGTGGCCGGCTTGTGTGCCCCAAGAGATGTGATTGCCCTTCCACGTGCGGCTGGGGCTGTAGGCTGCTCACTCTCTGTCCACTCGGAGCGTAGCTGTGACTGGTGCCCTGCTTTGGTCCTGGTCCTCAAGGCAAGGGGGGATTAATGAAAGGCCACAAAGGCGAATTTTAGTGACAGGAAGGGACAGGCTTGAGAGAACATGTTCTTGTTACTTGTATCTTCCAGGAAACTGAGTCCAAGCCTTAGTTACTTTAAGATAAGAAATCTGGGTGCCTGAGGGGCTCAGTCGGTTAAGCAACTGCCTTCGGCTCAGGGCATGATCTCGGGGACCTGGGATGGAGCCCCACTTTGGGCTCCCAGCTCAGTGGGGAGTCTGCTTCTCCCTCTCCCTCTGCCTCACCCAGGCTTGAGCAAGCACTCTCTCTCAAATAAATAAATAAAATCTCATTTTTAAGAGTTTAAAATCTGAGCCACCCAGGTGTCCCTAAATAAATAAAATCTTTAAAAAAAAAGACTCTCTTTTCTTAAAAAAAAATGTACAATTTTTTTCTCTGAGCTGGGTGTCATCAGAGTCCACACCACCGCCACCACCTCTTGCCTGTGGTGTGCGTTAGCTTCCATACTGGTTTCTGTACTCTACTCTTGGCTCCTAAGAAACCATTCTCTGCACCCTCCCCAGAGCATTTCCCAATAATTCCAACCAGGTCCCCTCAACCCCTTCTTTTTTTTTTTAATTTTTTATTTATTTATGATAGTCACAGAGAGAGAGAAAGAGGCGCAGAGACATAGGCAGAGGGAGAAGCAGGCTCCATGCACCGGGAGCCCGATGTGGGATTCGATCCTGGGTCTCCAGGATCGCGCCCTGGGCCAAAGGCAGGCGCCAAACCGCTGCGCCACCCAGGGATCCCCCCTCAACCCCTTCTAAGGCTTCCCATGTACATATGGATCATTTCCTGCCTATCTCTCCAGCCCTGTCTCTCAGCACTCCCCTAATGTGGGAAACCCTGGTGACCCTCTAGCCATAATGGCCTTCTTTCAGTTCTTTATTATTATTATTATTTTAAGATTTTATTTATTTATTTGAGAGAGAGAGCATGCTTGCACAAGCCTGGGTGATGGCAGAGGCAGAGGGAGAAGCAGCCTCCCCACTGAGCCGGGAGCCTGATGCGGACTCAATCCCAGGACCCGAGGATCACCACCTGAGCAGAAGGCAGACGCTCAACCACTGAGCCACCCAGATGCCCTAGTTCTTTAAAGAACTACCTTGCTTATTCCTAATTTGGGCCCTTCTTCTCTTTTCCTTCCACCTGGAGGCTTCTTGTCACAGTTCTAAGGGCTGACTCCGCTCCTCTTGGATTTTACTAAAGTGTTGCATTTTCAAATGTCTTCAATGACCACCTGATCTAAAGTGATCTCTCACCCCCTCGTCCCTCCCAATGAGGTTATTTTGTTTTGCTTTCTCCACAGTATTTATCTCTATTTGATTTTATACTTGTTTAGTTATGTCCTGTCTCTAATAATAGGACCACCCACGCCACCATATGTCATTTGAAAATAAGCTCTGTGAAGACGAGGACTTTTGTCTATGTTGTCACTGCTGTGTCCTAGAGTATCTGACGAGGTCCCAAAAGGTATGACTACTCCAGATGGAAACTGTACGGGGACCAGAAACCCCCACAGAACAGGAACAGTGGTGGGAACAGTTGAGAAGTGAAAACGGGGAGCAGGATGAGTGAGGCCCAATGCCTGGGGTCTGCTGCTTTGTTTTCTTCCTGGACTTTGCCCTCATAGGTTCTTTGTTTGTGGTTATTTGCAAGTGGAAACCACACAGGACCGATTTAAAACCAAATGTGGGGCGCAGCCACTGTGGAAAACAGTATGGAGGTTCCTCCCAAAATTAAAAATACAATTACCATATGATCCAGCAATTCCATGTCTGGGTATTTAGCTGAAGAAGACAAAAACACTAATTCGATTTAGTGTGCCCCTGTGTTCATTGTAGGGTCATCTACAATAGCCAGGGTGTAGAAACAGCCCAAGTGTCCATCAATGGATGAACAAATAAAGAAAATGTGCCATGTGTGTATATAATGCCTTTTGCTGCAACATGAATGGACCTTGGGGGCCTTATACTGAGTGAAATAAGTCAGAGAAAGACAAATAGCATATGATGTCACTTATATGTGGAGTCCAAAATGCACACACATACACGAGGCACCTAGGTGGCTCTGCTCCGGCAGTTAGGTGTCTGCTTGCAGCTCAGGTCATGATCCCAGGGAGCGAGCCA